GGGGCGCGAGCCGCTATCTCCTCATCGGGCAGGGCGGGTGAACGGGGTGTGCTGCGCTCTGGGCGAAGGGTTTGCATGCATCAACGTCACGGACCTCGCCGTTCGGTCAACCTTCGGGGCTGACGGGATGGATAGACCAAAGCCAAACAAAAAGAAAGAAAGAAAAAAAGATGACGTGTACTTGAAAAATTAGCATGCCGTTTGATCCTGCGACCCAGAGGTTTTACTTACGGCCGATTTCCGCTTTTGCATGTTTAATGCGGCTGATTGGCCGTAAGTAGCAAAGCTAGCTCGTTCGTCGGGGCGTAGGTCAGGGTAGGTCAGGTCGTCGGTCGTGTGGCGGGTCACTCATTCGTGCCAAGTTGAGTCTGCCCGCAAACAGGAGTGAAAGGAGGGGGGGGGGGCGTCGGCCGCGCGTGCATGACTATTGCACATGCACATCGGGGGACTGATAGTTCCGGTGTGCCCCCCCCCCCTGGCGCCCCCTCCTCGGGTGGCCCGACAGACTGCACTGCACTCTGGTCCCGCGAGCACTAAGGTCAACACCACCGGGATCGGGATTGAGATGGTCTTTTTGTGCAGCGAACCATGGAGTTTGGGAGGCCCACGCCCAACGGGCTGTGCCTCTTCCTTGTCAAGTCAATCCCGAGGGGGGAAAACAAAGTCGATAAAAAGAGGGCCTCTCCTCTCTTTTTGATATATAACATTCAAAAGAAGAAAAATGATGAAAAAAACGGGATTTCTAATGCACTTCTTATTCGTGCGTGTAATGATAGCCCCCCAAAATGAATGCTACTTTATCTTCCTCTCCATGACCTTACGTCAGCCAATTAGATGAGCTCAAGCAGCAGACGTGCCCGGGGCTTACTTTCGCTGCCGTATCAGCCCGTGCTTCCAGACCATTTCGCTTAGCACTCCACGCCATCTGAGCGGCACGACCTGCATGTGTACACTCACTCTGTTGCACGTTTAAGGGGGTTGGGTGTGCTCAACTGAGGTTCTGCTCGACATTTTCTTTTTTGTTACTTCCTTCAGTGAGCGTGTTGTGATATACTAGCTAGCCCGCATGCTCGCAGGCGGACCGGTTGCCTATGCACCACGGTTAGCGAAAGTTTACAAACTCGCCCGCACGCCTGCGTAATGTTGCGGACTAGTACAGCCTTTCGCCCACCCTTGTAGTACAGCATGGTGTGTCGACAGCGCAAAATAGATGAGAATTTGAGAATGATCGGGACGATCGATCCGTTTGTTTGTGCACCGTACACCGCCGCACAAGCCAGTCGCAACATGATCCGATCCGATGATGTCGCTGTCGTCGAGGCGTCTGTCGTCGACGCCAGTCACCGCCACGTACGCCGTACGGCCACTCGGACCCCGCCCCCTGCTGCTGTTGACACTCTGCTCCCGAGCCAACACAACGCACTCCAGCATCCTCACTAAGTGCTGCATCACGCGAGCTAGCTCGTTTTTAATTTCTTTTCCCCCAGCTTCACTCGCTTTTTATGGCGCATTAGAATTTCCTCCTTAATTTTCCCCCCTCCTTTTCCTTCTCGTTACCTCACAGTGGAGCACGCCGACAGAGTCTGACAACCCATCTCAGGGTTCGTCCAGAAAGTAGGCACGTCCGTTTTTCCAAGATTCATTCGTCAGATTACAGGAGCTCGAAGCCTGCGAGACCCGGTGTAGGCCACCCCGCTGTACACGCATGCATCGCAGGCAAGACTTTGCCTACCTACCAGGCGCTACGAGAGCTTGCACAAGGCTGAACTTGGCCAGGTTCTCAACGGGGAATGACGAATACTGTCTGGGCGACCCCTCGTCTCTGGGCGGGCGCTAGGGGCCCGTGCTGGGCCGCCGAGTGTGTGAGTGTGTGTGCTTGACAGGACGAGGCATGGCTTCTGATACGGCGATAAGCTCACTGCTCCCTCCTGCGTGGCCTCCCAGCTGATCCAGGTGCTCGCCAACGCGAGCGTGCACACGTGCGCGGGTCAGCGGCCTCGCATCAATCATCCCGTCCACGTTATCTAGAACCGTCACCCTCTACGCCCTCAGGTCCGCGATGGCTCCCGGTGCTGGGCAACCTGCTCGACCTCAAGCGCCTCGTGCGGAAGCTGGGCTCGCAGCACGCCGCCTTCGAGAGCCTGTGCCAGGAGTACGGGTCGAGCGTGCTGGGCCTGCGCCTGGGCAGCGACCTGGTGATCGTGGCCTCCGGCTATGAGGCCGTCAGCCAGGTGCTCACCTCGGACGACTGGCTGGGCCGACCCGACAACTTCTTCATGCGGCTGCGCACCATGGGCACGAGGAAGGGTAAGTGTAGCGATGTGAAAAACATAAGTTGAAAAATGAAAAACATTGAAAACAATATTTTAGCAGTTGCACCACGTTCTCAAATGACATTTGAAGAAAGTTAGTGAGACTTGCTGAGGGCAGCCGATGGCAGATCATTGCTGCGTTTTCGGATGCTGATGAGAGTCTTGCCGTGCTTCAGGCATCACGATGACGGACGGCGCGCTGTGGTCCGAGCAGCGGCGCTTCGCCGTGCGCCACTTCCGCCAGCTGGGCTACGGCAAGGTGCACATGGAGGAGCTGATCCTGGCCGAGCTGACGGACCTGCTCAACGAGCTGGAGCCGGCGTGCACCACGGCCGAGGCCGTGTCGCTGGGGCCGCTGCTGCCGCCCTCGGTGCTCAACGTGCTGTGGGCGCTGACGGCCGGCACGCGCTTCCCGCACGGGGACGCGCGGCTGCAGCGCCTGCTCGACCTCATGGGCCAGCGCGGCCGGGCCTTCGACATGGCCGGCGGCGTCCTGGGCACCCTGCCCTGGATGCGGCACCTGGCCCCCGAGCGCACGGGCTTCAACCTCCTCAACCGGCTCAACGCCTCGCTCAGGGAGCTGCTGCTGGTGAGTTTGCGAGAGGGACAGGGGAGGAGGGAGAGAGCACCGGCCCCAGGGGGAGGTCCTCCCCGTCCGCTCGCCGGCTGTCGCGCCAGCTTGCAGTTCACGACGGTCTGCCACGAAAGGCGCCTGAGTGGAATATGAACTAGGTAAATTATCGAGATCCGTTCGCGGAACCGGTGTTATCCCGACTAAGCGCTTTCGGAGCGCGGCTCGCGGCTTTGCCGGCCCAGCAGCACTGGCATGGACTCGCGGTTCCCAAGCTCCGACATGTGGGGCTCGGGGGCAGGCTCGAGCCGCGGCCTTGGAGTTTGAACTCTAATAACTGCCGTTTTCTCAGTTAGTTGTTGTTGTTAGTTGCGTGGCCCCCTGGCTCGCGGCGAGAGAGTGAGAGCGAGGGAGGGGGAGGGGAGGGCACCGTGAGAAAAGACAAGATTAGGTCCGGGACGGCCCCACGTGCTGCTGGTCTTATGACCATTCTCCTTCACGTATTCTAAAAAACGCGGTGCTATTCTGTTTCCAACATGCTTCTTAAGATATTAAGAAGTCCCAGGTGTCTTCGCTTCAGACATTACCGTGGCTCCCCTAGGCCCCGTAGGTCACGCGTAGGTCACTCGTGCTAGGTACGCTGACGGACGGTGCTGCCCGAGTATGACGCGCGGGCTCGCGCGGGGGACTATCAACATTTGGATCAAAAGCAATTTGAATTCTCCCAAAACACGTGGACGTCCGAATGCTCGCAAATAAAGTCTGCCGTACTCATTTCATGAGACAGCAGAAGGGCCACCTCTCTCGTGGCCTTGCCGGTCGGCCGTCCTAAATTCTGAGCAGCTCCAGAGGAACCAGCCAGGCGGAAAATCATCCGCGCCCGTTTGGCGCCCGGCTGCAACTACTATGAGAAGAAATGAGTAAACCAATTTGTATCGTACAGCGGCACGCCTCGGCCTCCTAAGCGATGCGAGTGCTCAGGACGCGCCGCCCCACGACGCCCAGCGAGCAGCATGACAAATGACTGGCGGAGCACGGACGGCGCGACCCGGGACGCACCGCAGCGCACCGCGCCAAGTGACGCGACTTTGACGCGGCGAGCGGTTTTTAGGCGTCTCCCATAGCCAGGGCCGGGGTGCAGGAGGGGGAGGAGGGGACGGGGCGGGGAGGCGGGCATCGGCGTCAATTCATAGTCATGAAAACCTTGACCCGCGAGACCCCTCGAAAAGTCTTCGCTCGGCGGTTGGCTGCGAAGAACATCTTTCTAGCCCTTTTGAGCGTCGGTTTTCTTTCGGTGATATGTCCGGGAGCTTGTAATGTAAAACGCGGCGGCGTTCTAGTCGTATGGTGATACGAATCATTCGCTTGTGTTTTGCAGGAGACTATCGCAGACCACAATGCGAGCTACACGCAGGGCCGGACTCGTGACCTCATCGACGCGTACCTCCACGAGGTAAAGGCGCACGCAGGCGACGGCGAGCAGTCCTCCTTTACCGGTAAGTCCGCGGAGACTTGAACGCAAACGGCGTTTGTGAGCTGCGGGGCGTGGGAAAAGGGAGGAGGAGGGAGGGGGTTAATCTCTTGGCGATCTACTACATATCTTGCTTGTCGTGTCCTTCGGTGTCCAGAGGAGCAGCTCGTGATGGTGTGCCTGGACATGTTCCTCGCCGGGTCGTACACGACCAGCAACACGCTCAACTTCGCGCTCATGCTGCTGGTGCTGCACCCGGACGTCCAGAGCAAGTGCTTCAAGGACATCTACAACAACGTGGAGAAAGGCCGGCTGCCGTCGCTCACGGACAGGCAGAAGTAAGGCACCGCCCGGGACAGTCCTCTGGCACAGCTGGTGAACCATACCGCGTGCATGCGAAAAGAGGGGGTTGGGAGGGTTGGGAGGGGGGAAAGGTAAAAGCTTCACGACCAATAAAAAGCAACGGAAGGAAGTATAGGGCGACACGGCTCGTGCAGGCGAGCGAGTGACAAGGACCACGGATGAGGGAGCAGAAGGTTGGCAACGCTGCCGCAGTGCCATCTGCGGTGCGATAAGACATAAAAAGTGCAGTGGCGGCAGGTGAATACATTAAACTTCTATCAGTCCCACCATTAGGCGGCGCGGCTCGGCGCAGGCAGAGCAGCTGGCTGGCCGCTCACAACTCTCTCACTCTCCTCCTCCTCCGCTCAGACTTAAAGGGCTCGCCCCTCTCTTCTGCCGACAGGCTTCCGTACATCGAGGCCGTCATCATGGAGGTCATGAGGCTGTACTACGTGGTGCCCATCACGGGGCCCCGGCGCGCGCTGCACGACACCAAGCTCATGGGCTACGACGTGCCAAAGGTGAGATAAACCAAACCCACAACTTGATGCAATACAGCCGAGGAAAAGACACGTCACCGCAGACACGACAATACAACGTGGAAATGAGCACTCTGGCGTTATGCAGGGTAGGCTTGGGAGCCACGAGACCCCTTTCTTTTTTGTACGTGTGCGGTTTTGCCTACCACAAGTCACGTCGCCTTCTGACCCACGCCAAGTAGGCAACCCACCCAAATCTGTGCATGCTGTGCCGTATACGTACAAACCAAAAAGGGGTACATGGTGCACTACTTTTCAGTGACGCCCACGTGAAGCTGGGCCCACAATGAACGATTCGAGGGGCGGCGCTAAAGATGGCGCCTGCGACTCGCTGGGTTGGCCAACCCGCCAGGCAGCTGAGTGAAGCCGGCGGCCCGCTCGGAGCGCCCAAGTGCGGGGCCATCTCATAGAGATTTAACTTGACAAGAACTTGCATTATTGTGATCACTTCAACTCTTGCCTCGTAGGACACAGTGGTCCTCATCAACATCCACTCCATCCACCACGACAAGAAGCACTGGGGCGACCCGGAGGTCTTCAGGCCCGAGCGTTTCCTCAACGCGCGCGGCAAGATCCAGCCCGACGAGCACCTCATCAACTTTGGCCTCGGTGAGTATACCGGCCGAGTGTCCCCCTTCTACGGTGACACCGTGTGTGGGCGTCATCAGGCCCGAAAAAGAAGACTCAATATTGACTCTCGTCCTCTCCCGCCCGCAGGCAAGCGCCGCTGCCTGGGCGACGCCCTCGCGCGCAACTGCCTGTTCCTGTTCCTCACCGGGCTGCTGCAGCGCTACCGGCTGTCCGTGCCGCCGGGGGAGGCGCCGCCCTGCCGCGAGCCCGTGCCCGGCCTGACGCAGTGCCCGCAGGCCTACCGCGTCATGCTCACCCCGCGGACGGCCTGCCCAGGGTCGCCGCGCTCGCCGCGGACGCCGTCGCCGCTGCCCGGCGCGTAGCTGGCGACCGCTCCGGCATATCTCCTACTCTTGTATCTCTGTATTCTTGCCACAACTCTTCTCTTTCGCAAAAAAAAAGGAGAGAGAATAATATTGCGGGCGAGTATTCAGCCAGTTTGACGTCATCATTTTTACGTTGAACTGAAGTGCTAGATCTGGTGTACACTTAAGTGTTTTCGGCGACGCACGATGAGCGTTTTTGTGTTTCTGTTTTAAATTAATCAACTACACTGTGATAATTAAGAAGTTGAGTATTTAAGTTTATTCGAGTGGTTTTCTTTCGCTTGTTTTTCTCTCCTGGAGACCACAACTAAGGACATATTTGACTCTGGTGCTCATATTGAGCGGCGGGAGGCAGGTCTGCTTAGAATGAGCGACTTAGTGTAATTTTATTGGTTATAAAATGACTGAGAGTAAATCTATTTCTGTTTTCAATAAAACTTAATTTAGAAGCTGTTTAATCGTTGGCACAAAGAACCAAACCTGCTGACTCTGATTTGGCGGAGTGTACGAATGACAGCTTAGACTGCCTCTTTACGATCCTCGCTGCTGGAAGCGGGGTCATGGTCGCGCCCAACCAGGTCGCGGGGGGTGAGCACGGCGTACAGGGGCTTTGGAGAGAGCGTGAAGCCGTCCAGGAAGTGGCGCTCCCCGATCGGGTGGTCCGGTGAGGGCGACAGAGTGAAGCGGTGCAGGAGAAAGGCGAGGAAGAGGAAGAGGCTGTGGCGAGCGAGCATCTCGCCCAGACAGCGGCGTCGGCCTGCGGAAGAACGAGAGAACACGGCGACAGTGAACAGTGAACAGCCGGGAGCTGGGCGAGAAGCGCAAGCTTCAGCAGGGCCCTGTGGTGGGGCCAGGCCCGCGCTATCCACCCGCCCGGCGGGCAGAGCGAGTCAGCCGCTCTCGGTAGGCCACCCGCCCAAGAGCCGTGTCGTCGCGCTGCCCACCCGCCCGGCGGGCAGAGCG